CTGGTAACGGTCTGGGTTAGTTAGGCTCTGGTAAGGGTCTGGGTTAGTTAGGCTCTGGTAAGGGTCTGGGTTAGTTAGGCTCTGGTAAGGGTCTGGGTTAGTTAGGCTCTGGTAACGGTCAGGGTTAGTTAGGCTCTGGTAAGGGTCAGGGTTAATATAACCTCACACCTACCTGTTTCTTGAACTGCTGACACTCTTCAGGAGTCATGGTGTCAGCCTTGGCGATGAGGGGAATGATGTTGACCTTTTCATGTAACCGCTTCATGAACTCGATGTCTAGAGGCTTCAGCCTGAGGACAGCAGCAGTTAGAAGGTTAGATACACTGAAAGCTTCTGGTGGTGGACACTGGGTCCAGACGGAGCCCCTTCTGCTTGGATTGCTAAGTGCAGTAGGGGATCACCTGAAGGTTTATGCAACGTTAGGGTCTGGTTTGGTGACAGAATTATTGTGTCATCTCTAGATAGTGATCCACAACCGAAATGAACTAACCGTTAAAGAACTAGCCAGGAGAACCAAAGACACTAGCATGCTATCACTAAAATGTTATCCAGGGGAATAAAAGATGTTTTAGCATGCTACTGCTAAGTGTTAGCCTGGCGGATCAAAACCTCTTTAGCATGCTAAAGAGCTAGCCAGAACAACCAAAGGCAAAATGTCAGCCAGGAGAACAAACAATGTTTTAGCATTTTAACATTAGGTGTTAGCCATAGGAAGCAATAATGCTTTAGCATGCTAATGTTAGCTTATGGAATATGAACTCTGCAAACAAAGCTCCAGCGGTACTGACCCGTGTCCAGACGGAGCGATGAAGTACAGGCAGCAGTGCACTCTGCTGTCCGGCATTAGTCTCCTGTTGACGCGCGACTCTGCGTTCAGGAAGTCTTCAAACTTACTGTCGATGTGGTCCGTCACCGGCTGCCAGCTGTCAGACACACACACACATTGTGTCACCCTATCCTTGGGGGGACTTTGCCTTCATTTCTATGGACTGACCCTAACTGTGAACTTAAACCTAATCTCAGTTCACACCGTAGTCCTAAACCTAACCCCCACCCCAAGAAGAGAACCACTATTGGTCCCATCAAGCACCTATAATCCCCAAAATGTAGTTTGTTTATGGCATCACATTTATTTCAAAATGCTGCAAGCAAACTGAACACACTCACATGCATGTTAAACTACTCCTGCACATGGTTTATCTACCACCTCACCTCAAATTCACACATGCCCGAGAAACTGCCGCTGCGAGAGGAGAAAATCCCTCACAGTGCGCGGCAGCTCCACCCACGGGCGCTCGGGATCGGGATCTCACCACGCACACGATCCAGCGGCCACGCTAGAGGACAGCTGCTCTGTCAAAAACCGTCTCCGTCTTCGGAATGATTTTCTCCTCAATTGAAGGAAAATGTGTTTTGACAGGTTGGACAGAGACAAACGTCTTCTGTAAGCCTCCTCCTGATTGGACCATGCAGACACGATCACACAGGAAGTAGCGTCAGGAAGCCTTTGACTGACAGCTGGTCATCCATAAGTGAAGACGACGGCTGGAGGCGGGACAGTGGCTTCTCCATGGTTTGTGGTACGTGGGGTAAGCGGTAAGTCTCAGTAGTTTAACATGCATGTGAGAATGTTTATTTTGCTCTCAGGGGTTTTGAAATAAATGTGATGTCATACATATTCCTGGGAAACTGTCTCCACATGGTAAGGTGACCAGATTTCTGAAATCCAAGCTTTATTGGTGGGTGTCAGAGTTAGTGCTCTTCCTTCTGCTTCCTGTTGCTCAGAGAAGACTCCCCATAAACTCCACAGGGTGGAGTGTTCGGCCCCTGATCAATGTGAAGTAGACCCCATCAGGTACCCTTTAAACCAGTAACAGCTCACCAGTTACTGTTGTCCACAGCGTCTCCAAAGCCGGGCGTGTCGACGATGGTCAGCAGGAGATGGACCCCTCCTTCCTTTATCAGAACCTTGGACTGCTCCACCTGTAGGTAGATGTAGAGCACAGGGTTCGGTCCTGGAAGGATCCAGAAGCTCATTTCTAATTTCACTGAACAATAACTGGTTTAATAAACCAACAGAGAAACCAGGCTGCGGGGGGGAGGGGGAGAACAAAGATGCCTCTGAACATCAATAAAGCCCGGGGGGGTGGCGGGGTCCAGACAACTCGTGATCAGCAGACCAGCTTTGATTCAATCAGCAGACCTCTGAGTGGGAGACCAGCTGCCGTCAGGCCAGCAGAACCAGCGGGGTTCTGTAGAACCTGCTTTTAAATCCAGAACCCTTTTCTCTGAGCAGGTTTACTGAGAGCCGGCGCCGACCTCAGATGGTACCACACTTCCTGTTTCAGGCCCGTTTGGATCTTAACGATTCTGGTTCCCAAACATCAGAATTAGGAATAAGTTTTGGTTACTTGAGGATCCAGTACGGCTATTGATGATGATGCAATAGCATCTGAGTCCTCTGATTGGTTCATTTCTGATCTATGAGGTCATAGAGGCGCCATCAGAAGCTCCGCCTCCATGAGTGAAATTAGACTTATATTTTATTTGTCATTTTGTTTACACAAGTATAAAACAAAAACAAATTTCGTTTGGAAAAGCTCTCTGGAGAATTTCATTTTTTTTTTTTAAGTGCAGCCTTGAAAAATAGTAAAAATGACAAAAAATTTACAGTTCTAACATTTTTATTTTTTTAATTATGGGACACAAATCAGGGAGGATCTCAGCAGGATGTTCTCTAATCGTTAATCCATCTTCTCACTGCAGAGGATGGAGTGATGAACCAGGAGCATGTGGGGCCCCCGGGGGCCGGTGTTATCACAGCTGCTGGGGTCAGTTATTTGTCATTTCTAACAATAAAGGATTATAACAAATCTAACATCTAAGCAACACTACACACTACTAGCATGTGGGGGCCAACCAGGGCCGATCGGGGAAAACTGCCTCTGCCAGTACTTTTTCCTACCGTCCCTGAATGCAACAGATGGGAATATGTTGTTTAGGTGCCTAAACTGCGTGTCCAGGTGGGTCTGAGGTGGAGGCTTAGACGTTGGGTTGCTATGGAGACAGCCTGGAGCAGACAGGGCTGACTCAAGCCACAGACACGCC